GTTTATCTGACTCACACCTCCCTCACTGAAGGGAATCAGGGCAGGAAGTTAAGGCAACAGCTTGAGGCAGAAACCTCGGAGGAACCCTGCTTGCTAGCTGGCTCTCTGGCTCACTCACTGGCTCATGCTCAGCTGCTTTCTGACATCACCCAGGCTTTCCTGCCTAGGGATGGTACAGCCCACAGCAAGCTGGACCTTCCTGTATCAACTCAGTCCTTCAGAGACATGACCACAGAACAATCGACCGGATTGGTTCCTCAGTCGAGGTTCCCTCTTCTCACGTGACTCAAGGTTGTGTCAAGCTGAACAAAAACTAACCTGCATAAGAGAGGGCAGAAGGCCTGGTTACTTCAGGTGGTAAATCTGGTACTCCATATGTTTATCTATTGCTTCCCCTCTGCCTCAGGTGACTTCATCAGCCGCCCTGATAGTGTTACTAGGATTGTTCTGATTCTAACTCTTCAAATCTAGAATAACAAACCTTTCAAGTCAAAGGAGACACAAACCAGGCTGGATCTGAGTCTGTTAGGGAAGCACCGTTCTCATCTTTGGCAAAACAAACTTAGACTGTATCAACTCACCAGGTTCCAGGGAAGGTGTAGAACTCAGCCAGGTATGGTACAGTCTGGAAACTTGCTAAGGGGATGAAGCCAGTCGCGGAATGCCATATGCTGCCTAATGCCTTGTACATGCAATGTCCAGAAACAGAAAATATAGGAACAAAAGGAATCAATCACAATCCAGGACAACAGAATAAAGCATCTGGGTTGTTACATAGCTTGGAATAGCAATACCCTTTCCTTTTGGGGTGATAAGAATGATTGCAAATTATGCTGTGGCTTGAGCTGTGCAAGCCTTTGGACAGACAGTCATAGGTTGTTTAACAAGTGAGTTACTTACTGAGAAATGTGCCACTAGGTGAGTTAGTCATTGAACAAACATCACGAAATAAACCTTCACAAAGACAGCTACGATGTCCTCACTATTCAATCTTATAGGACCAATGCCTTTCATGGACTTGGTTACCGATCAAAGCTCCATTTTGTGAGCCATGATTACAGGAAACTCAGTGATTTCCACATTAGAATTTTATGATGCATGGGAATATGGGTAAATTAGCTTTAAAACAAGATGAAGGTTAAAATTGAATTCTAGACAAATCACTAACAAAAATTTAGTAGCTACACCCCTTGCCAAAAAAAAAAAATTGGAACACATTTGAACCAAAAATATTAATATTTGATTGAAATATAGATTTTGCCAAATGCCCCAACTTTTAAGTCTTTATATAAGGAAATTTGAGGGCAAAGAATAAGCGTTTAAGGGAGGGGGCTGCAGCGGGGATACAAAGTGAATAAATTGTAATAAATAAATATATAAGTTAAATAAAAAAAAAAAGAATAAGTATTTAAGCTTTTTTAAAACTTAAAACCAGAAACTCAGTTGAAGAGTCTGAAGAGTTTTCAAGGACTAGTCCTTTATGAAGCATCCAGGCAGCATTCAGGTATTGCTAGATTCACAGGGGCTTTAGGGCTGGTACATACAAGAGCTGGAGCATTTCTGGGGACAGGAGCAGAAAGACCCCAGAGCCAGCACATCTACTGTCCTTCCTTGTCTAGCGCTGACTCGTGGGGTTTGTTGCTATGTCAATAAAACTAACATGAGAAGGGAGTCCAAATTTCCCTTACACGCAAAGATAGGAAAATCGGGGTCAGAAACGGCGAAGCTGCAAACTCACAGTGGGGCATGTTTGGCACGGAATTGCCGGGGAGAGAGGGATGCATGCGCTCACTTCAGCCCAAGAGAATCCAAAGAGGGAGAACAAAGGCAAGGGGACAGGGAACTTCGTGCTCGGATGGTAAATGAGTCAGCTAGAATCTCTCATTAAAATCAATCACACTGCGCAGACCTTATGAAGAGAGAGAATGGGTGAAAATTGTAAATGGCGCACGAGCCTGGGATATATGACCTATGAGAACTGGGGCTCGAGAGACGGCTCAGAGGTTAAGAGAGAGCACTGCCTGCTCCTTCAGAGGTCCTGAGTTCAATCCCCAGAAACCACATGGTGGCTCACAACCATCTGATCGGATGCCCTCTTCTGGCATGCAGGTGTACAAAAAATAAACAAATAGCTGAAAGAAGAAAAACTTCAATAAAACAATGAAATAAAAAAAGATTTCTTTTGAAAAAAAGAAAAGTGAGAACAATTTCACAAAAACTAAATTTCTTAGAAACAGGTGAAAAAAAAAAACAATTTATTCCCCCCCCCCCCTTTTTCTTCTGAGATGAGGTCTCACTATGTAGCTTTGGCCTTTGGAACTCAATTAGGCTGGCCTCGAACTCTCAGAGCCCCTGTCTCCCAAGCGCTGGGATCAAAGGCATAAGCCACTGTCCCAGGCTTTGGCTAATTCTTACAGACTGAATATACTTGAAACCAGTATTTCCCTTTTCTGTATCTGTTCATTCTATACGAGAAGCCACCTTCTTGCTTATTAAAGTTTGAACGTAGCCTCCTTGGTTTCGGATTTGTTCAACCAAGTAGGAAAACTCCAAGAGGGGCCGGAGAGCCAGCTGGGCGGTTAAAAGCACTCGCGGCTCTCACAGAGGACTTGGATTCAGTTTCCAGCACCCACATCACAGTTCATGACTCCAGTTCCAGGAGATCCAATCAATGCCCTCTTCTGACCTCCGTGTGCACCAGGCACACATGCAGTAGACATAATCATCACATCTTGCTCACTCTACTTTTTTCTTCTGTTAGTGGAAATGAGGTCGTTGCTGCCTACAAAATTGGAACAGGGAACCCATTTCACACAGACAATACATCTTCTAGAGCTGCCTCTGGTCCTGACTTCTGTATAGATCAAGGTTCCATTGAAGAAGCTACAAGACATATATATAGACTAGAGTTTTGTTTTGATTGATTGATTGATTGATTGATTGATTTTACTTAAGCACTTTATAGCCTGATCCCAGCCTTCTCCCTCCTCTCCTCCAAGTCTTGCCCTCACACCCTCTTCCCCAATTCCCCCTTTTCTTCTTCTCAGAGAAGGGGAGGCCCCTAAGGGGTATCAACCCACCCTGGCACCTCAAGTCACAAGAAGGATTAAGCTTATCCTCTCCCACTGAAGCCTGGCAAGGCAGCCCAGCTAGGAGAAGGGAATCCAAAGGCAGGCAACAGAGCCAGGGACAGCCCCTACTCCTGTTGTTAGGGGACCCACATGATGACCAAGCTGCGCATCTGTTACATATGTAGGGAGTCTAGGTCCAGTCCCAGCATGCTCTTTGGTTGGTGGTTCATTCTCTGTGAGTCCCCATGGGCCCAGGTTAGTCTACTCTGTAGGTCTGCTTGTGGTGTCCTTGGCCCTTCCGGCTCCCTCAATCCTTCCTCCCAGTCTTCCTTGAAACTCCCCGAGCTTGGTCTATTTTTTGACTGTGGGTCTCTGTATCTGTTTCAATCCACTGCTGGATGAAGTCTTTCAGAAGACAGTTATGCTAGACTCCTGTCCTCAAATATAGCACATTAATGGTGTCAGGGGATGGTTCTCTCCTATGGGGTGGCTCTCAAGTTAGGCCAGTCATTGACTCCTTCAATCTCTGCTCCATCCTTATAATCCACCCATAAAATCTTCGACCCAAGAAGTGTAGGGATTCATTTGAGAGAACAGACTTTTCCCAGTCGTGGGAGGTTCTGGAAGAGTCTATGCGCGGCTGGTACCTCTCCATCTGAAAACAAAGTATCTGTAGGTTACCAGACCCGGATGGGAAGAAAAGCTAGCTATGAGATGGGGTCAACAAAGACACACTGTGAAGTAGGAGAACAAACTGGGACCCACGTCTAATGTCTGCCTCTCTGCCTCTAACCCCGACACCACAGGTCATTGTAGCAGCTGCGTGGACATCCCCAAGGCCCAGAACTCAGCAATTCTAATAGAAGAGATCTGATGAGGAATGAGGAAGCCCCAGCCTGGCTGCTTGGGGTGTGTCAGAGGGCCAGGGACATTAGACTGCCATGCTTCCTGAAACCTACACTGGCCTGGGAGCGCACAAATACGGCTGAATCTTTGCTTGTCTCATGCAGACACAAAATTCTCACATGGTCTACTCTAACCCCATAACATATGGGAAAGACAGCAGTAGGAATGCATTTCCTGGTTAATCAGGCTGTATAGTGTGGAGTCACCGTAACAGCAAAGAACGCTTCCCGTCGTCATGGAATTCACGTGACAGTGAGGAACGAAACGATGACAAGTAAAAAATAAACAAAGCATTCATTCTTCACAGCAGCCTTGTGACACGCCCACCTGCAATCGCCCAGTGTTTTAGATGACGGAATGAAGGTGAAAACATCATTCAAGGTGGTATTACGTATTTGTCCTAAGTCCCAGGAAACGGAGGAGCCAAGCTCTGGACGTAGACAGGTACCAGTTAAAGCCTTTGGTATTAACTGCTGCTTGTGCATTCTGTGTGAATCCTTCCTCAAACTCAAACACTCAGACTGGCTCCTGTCTTCAGGTGGGAGAACAGAGTTTAATAGTCTATTGCACTTACCCACATTTTTTTTTTGTTTTTTTGAGACTGGATGTGGGATTCATTCATTCATTCATTCATGTGGAGAGTGGGACTCAGCACAGTGAAAGCCCTCAGGAGCCCAGGGCTGGCAACTTGTCCAGTGGACCACAGCTGGGGATGCGTTTCACCCAAGGCCATCGGGGATGTACCGGCTCTCAGGTCCCAGGCTTCAAACTTCTCTGCATTAAACTTGTTGAAGCCCTACTTCTTTGAGATGTGGGTTGTCTGGTGGTCAGATAACTCGAGCTCGGCTCTATGATGGGCCTCAGCCGTATGTGTGTGCATGTCTGCAGCTCTGTATAGATGGATACGTCGACTTGGCCTGTGTGAAGCACGTCTGTGCTCCAGCACTTCCCAAAGGCACCGCAATGCCTGTCTGCAGCCTAGACTGGGAAGAGCGGTGAAACACATAGGAATATCTACCAGAAATTGGTCTTCTAGGCCGTTAGTGCAGCCCTCACAAGCAACAGGCTGTGGACACTACCAAGAAGATGGCTGCTTACAGCCACTGTGCACCAAAGGCCCCTGTGAGGGAGGGAATCTGCTGGCATAATTGGTTAGAGTCTCTCTCTTTCTTTCTGTCTCTCTCCGTCTGTTTCCGTTTCTTGAGACAGGGTTTCTCTCTGTAGTGTTGGTTGTCTTGGCCTTTTGTGGACCATGCTTGCCTCAGACGCACAGATCTGCCTGCCTCTGTCTCCCTGAGTGCCGGGATCAAAGGCGTGGGCCACGACATCCCGCCACTCCTGTGTCTGAACGAGAGTGTTTAGTTTGGTTTGGTTTTCCATTTTTGCCATAGTCTCATGTAGCCCAGTCTCTCTACGTAGCTCAGGGTAGCGTTGAATGCATGAATCTGCCTCTATCTTCTAAGTGCTGGGCTTACAGACGTATGCTACCATGCCTGACAATTGCACTTATGGAGAATGATCTTCCCCAACTAGATATAAAACTCTCGGGTCCGTAAATGATATGCTCACTGTTGCTGCTACGGTGCTGTGCATTCACCCGGCACCTTATACAACCAGGTTGCACTGATTTACTGCCTTTGACCCTCAGAGCGAGGTGAGTTCTGCATGTAGCTCTTCCTGGCTGAGCAGCGCTCACTCTGAAAGAGCTTCTCCCTCGAACAAGTCTTTGAAAGACAGTCAGAGCCCCTGCAAGGAGCTGTGCTCAGGTCTCCTGCTAATCACATACTCTAGACAAGTCAGGGCACGGGGAGCATGGAGGGAGAAAGAGGGGTCACCCTCTAAAGGAGGGCAGATGGGACTCAGGGTTAGACTTTCTGTGATGAAAGCCGTTCCGCAGGATTATTAAGCAAATCCCAGCAGCTGGCTCAGCCGCTGGAAGGTAGGAGAGACTTAAGGCTTCAGACCCGAAGCCTGCGTTTTTGCAGGTCTTAGGATGAAAAAGCCCTTTGTTGATTTTTATTTAGACTTATTTAACATCTAACCCGAAGAAGACTGAAGGTGGGACAAGGCCTCCACGAAAGCTGTTTCTCCGGCCTCACGGCTTTTCGGCCCTAGCTGCTTCATTAGTGGGTACTAGGCTTCCTTCTCAACCATTTAAAAAACAAAAACAAAAAACCCTTACAGTTGGAACAGCAGTGTTTCCTCACGGCTGAGGGGAAGGGAGAGGCCACTTCCGAAAGGATAGCATTTATATTTTTAGACTGAAATATGCATTTACAATGGTTTTCTCAGAAAACATGCTTTAAAAGTATTTTGAACAGAAAGCTACACCTTAAACCATAGCCGGTTTCACGTATACTGTGAGGAAGGGAGGAACAATTTTGCTTTATTTTAGTGGTGAAACAATTTTTATTTAAAAATAAAAAAAATAAAAAATAAAATAAAAAATAGAGTATGCACCTCCCTTCTGCTTTCGTGTGGTGTGTGTGTGTGTGTGTGTGTGTGTGTGTGTGTGTGTGAGCTTGCTGATGAGTGGAGGGCATGAGCACAACTTGGACTGTCTTCTTCTGCCTTGTTCCACTGTGTTTTATGCAACAAGGCCTCTCTGGATCTCCGGCCTGCCTTTTGCTCAGACTGGCTGGTCAGCAGGCTGCTGGGATCTGGCTGTGTTTGCTTCCTCAGTGTTGGGCTTGTAGACATGCGTCACTACGCCTGCTTTTATGGAGGTGCCGGAACGGGGGGCACCTCATGCCTGTACAGCGAGCACTTTACCCCAGCTATGCCCCCGCCCCAGCTGCTGTTTTCTTTAGACTCCTGTGCCAGCAGAGCCCATGAGTGTTTTTTCCTCTCCAACGACAGGGTCCAACCTAGGTAGAGACGAGGGGCCTGAAAGGGTGATGTGGGCAGAAGGGTGGGCAGGTGGCAGAAAGGCAGGGAAACAATTCAGCTCATATGGTTTGGTCACAGATTAGGGGCCTCACCTCTCAAGTGAGCCCTTGAGACTGAAACCAGGAGTGGCTAGGAACCATGCGCTTATCTGCTGGCCCTGGTGAACTATCCCAGCCCCTGGTTGGCACCACAGCCAAGCTTCTCAAGAGCAGCCAGATCTCTAGGGAGTTCAGTCAGATTCAGTTTGAGACCTGTGACTTAAAGAGGGACACTCTACTGACCAAGCCAGTTGCCAGCACCGCTTCTTCTGGGGCTCACGGGGTGTGGTCCTGAAACACCCCAATCCTTCCACGCCTCACTTGTTTACCCATATTGAAGTCCGCCGATGCAGAACCTTTGTGTCACCGTGGGAGATCGAACGTGAATACCAGTCAGGGCAGCGAGAGGCTGGCATGAACAGATGCAGGGCTAAGGAGCTGAGCCCATGAGCAACCATTCAGTTCTGAGCACATTTCTCCACGAGGGCAAGAGGTGACGTAAAATCACCCAGAACCCCCCAAAGCCACCTAAACAAGAAGAAAGACCACAGGTTCCGGAGTGGGTGTAGGATGGCCATTTTGTTTGCTTAACTTAACTGTGTTTTTAAGTGCTCATGAAATTTCAGTCAAAGTGCAAGTCCATCATCTCCATGGATTAGAATGTCACAGCAAACTCTCCAGAATCTGTGTTACTTAAGAAGGAAAGCCGGGTGTCGTGGCTCATGCCTGTAATGCCAGGATCAGAGAGAGGCAGGGTTGCTGCAAGTTTAGCACTATCTAGAATTGTACAGTAAGACTGTCTCAAAAGAAACAGCACACACACACACACACACAGTGTGGATCACAGTTTCCTGCCATTTTCATTAAAAAAAAAATTAACCATGCACACACATTTGGACCACATACCCACAGGTGCATCTGTGTGTGCTAACATGTGTGTGTTTGTACCCTTGTATGTGTTTAGTCACAATCTAGTGTTCAATGAGGAAAAGAGACAAGATTCCCTGACAGAAGATTGGAATTCAACTCACAGGGTCAGAGAAGATGGCCCAGACCCAAGGGTTGAAGGGTCGCAGGCTGCTGCGTTCACTCTACAGTAAGTCCTCCCTTTAGTCTTGTAGATACACTCCTGACATTTTGATCATGCTGCTGAGGGTTAAGGTTGCTTTGACACGATGCCCATTTTTCAGTCATCCCACTCACAGTTTAGGACAGGGGACAATGTCAGAGAAGGAGAGGCCTTCCAGGGAACGGCGCCACCAGAAGCCACTGTGTTTCCAAGGAGCTAAGGTCCCAAGCACAGCTGCTCTTGTTTTTCTCGTGTTCAATTTGACGTGTAAAAAAGAGCCAGGGTTTCATGGAAGGACACAAAGCCTTGCTCCCAGCAGCTGGCTTCACTATTCTCTCTCTCTCTCTGTAGGGAGAGTCTTGAGGGACATCTCTGGTTTTTGGTCTGAGTTCTGACCAGCTCCCTCTGCTGTAGGAACCCATGCTACTGTTCTCTTTCCGGGATATTCCTCTTTCTATCTTTCCAGCAGGCACCCAAACCTGCCCCCAGCCTGTATACTGCACCCCATTTAGAGCTTCCTCCTGCGTCTGTGCTTTTCACTCTGGGCTGTAACTTTCTGCTTGCTTATTGTTTTGTCCTTGGCCCACAGGCTTCTCCATGACTGAAATCCTGTCCTGATAGCTTCTATACACCTTCAGCTCTACTCTTCATCTCTGTCACTAGTAAACATGCAATAAATAATATTGGTTGAATGGCCAGAAAACATGAAACTCAGAGGATTTGAATTTCTGCTTGTTGTGACTAAGGTTTAAATCCACGTGGAATCAAATGTACCAGGATCTGTTTTTGTTTTGTATTTATTTGTTTGGTGTTCATTTTCTAAGACAAGCGGGAGTGTTTCGAAAGTATTGAGAGCAAGAGGAAACAGACTTCCATGTAGTTAAGCAGGTTGGAAGGCAGCCCAAAGGGATATTTACAGAGCTAATGGCCCAGTGTTGGGCATAGAGTATAGAGAGTTTTTCAAACAAAGAGTTTATTGAGTTCTGTGCCACAGTCAGCATGGAAAGGTGGAGGATTAGAACAGGTGGAAGGAAGTGCCAGGGGCAGGAGAGGAAAATGGGCCTAGCCCCACTGCTGCCTAGGGAGCCACAGGAAGTGAACTTCATGGTTAGCCTGAGAAGGCCTCTTTCAAGATCATAGATCAACCCTAGACCCTACTAATGCATTTGAGGCAAACACTCTAATGCTGTGCTATACACCAACTCCATGTTTTTAATGCCTTCTTAGGGTTGGGCAAGGGTTACTCATCCAATTAGATATATTCATTTCTTCTTCTTCTTCTTCTTCTTCTTCTTCTTCTTCTTCTTCTTCTT